CCCCTCACCTCACCTCAGCCCGGCGTCCCGCCGCGTCTCCCCCACGACGTGGCCGCCGCGTCCCCCGCACGGCTCCGCGCCGGGCAGCGTGGTTCCTTCCCCCCGCGGCAGCGTTCCCGAGCTCAGGCCCCGCCTGGCGCCGCGGTCCACCGCTCTCCTGCAGGCCGGCGATGCCGGGCGCCCGCCTCGTCCTGCGTCCCGCGGGCCTGCGCTGCCGTAGGGCTGGAAGCGCCCTTCCCCTTGGTCTGCGGGGGCCATCTCCACAACGGGGGGGTCTTGCTTGTCCGGGGTTTGTCCTTCTCCCCTGGTGGAAAAGCACCGTACACCTTTCCTCGCTTCCCCGGCAAGCTTCCGCACTGACTCCCTTTGGCTATGGGCTGCGCGCTCCTTCCTGTACAGCAGTCTCCCATCTTCCAGTGCTGGGGCACTACCCCTGCAGCCTCTCCCGCTGCTGACGGTGCAGGGCCACGGGCACTGCAGCTGCTGCAGGCACGGACAGCCTGTGTGGGAGCCCGGAGGCCTGGGACTCATGCAGCAAGGACACCCAGGTGCACCTCTGTTTCCAAATTCCTCTCAGCAAAGACAGCGACCAGAAGGAGCAGGTGCTCGCTGCCAGGGCAAGTCCTGCAGCCCAGCGATGGCTTTCTCTTTTCTTGAAAGTTCTTTGCAAAAGGAAGAGGCCTAAAGGGCGGAATAATTTGTTCAAGCAACAGCCACCTGTTCCCAGCTATTATTTTTTTGGGTGCCCCCTTAGTGGGAGGCCACATCATGCAAGAGGTTGGGCATGCCATGCAGTGGGTTACCTGGAAGTCAGCAGCCAAACAGAGCCAGATGCCACTGCTTACCGTCTCAAACTCATCGCATGTGCAGCAAGCAGCGCACGTGCGCTGGACATCTGGCCTAGCTTGCTGGATCAAACAGCAGATAGCTTGTGTTTGCGCCCTGACTGGGCTGATGGACATGAGGAATTTATGGTTAAAGCCCTACACTCACTCTGGTCAAAACTTCTAGGCAGAAAACATACGAAGCCCAGACCATTTTTGTTACTTTAGGCAAAATCAATAAAGTTCTGCTTACTGATGCAAACACTCCCAACATTTTGAAACCGATCAGATGTCATGTTTTGAAGTTATCACATTGCAGATAGATAAACAGAGAAAGGACACCAAAGCGTACAGCTGTCTAAAGTTGGCAAAACAAAGCAGCAAGAAATATACCACCCGACCTCTTTATTGACCTAGTCAAGAATAAACAACGGGATCTGGCCATGTTTTGCTTTTGTTACGTTATCCATTTGTTGATTCCACAGATATTCCTTGTTCCATGTTTTACAAGTTCGTGGATAATTGAAAAGATTGTCCCAGCGTTCTATTAGTGTTTGTACAGGAGCACAGGACAAAGGTTGCTTCTGTACAGACAGGCAGCACGAGATACAGAGTGCCATTTAAGTAATTGCAGGGTTAACATGCATATTTCCAATAATGAAGGAGGAGACTGCAGATTTTGCTTTTTCTCATTTTTCATCTTCTTTTTTTCCCCCCTGACAGAGGAAATGGATCCACAATACTGTGCTGTAATGTGACATGCAAAGCTGTCAAACTGTGACACTTGGGATGAGTGAGACTTTTAAACGTCAGAAATTCAATTTTTAATGGCACACTGGCAACACAGACCTAACACTTCATCACAAGGATGACACATTCTAAAAGCTGTTTTAAAATAAATCAGAGTGGGGATGTGCTCCTTCAAAAGGGGACTGCATTTAAACAAGTTTCAGGAATGAGGAAACTGTATAACAGTTTCATTATTAAATCAAGTCAATAAAGTTCAGGAGATTTTGGTGAGAAAAGATTCCAGTGCATGTGGAGATGGAGTTCAAACCCACATTAATCAGGAGCTGCTTAAGCGACCTCCATCAACTACTTATCGTACAAACCACATTGCTTTTACATCTAAAAGCAATTCCGTTTGCAAAAGCACGCTGAGCCGACCACCTTTAGCCTAACTGCTACCTACGCCTCGTTGTCGTTCCCCAAGTGGAGAATGGCACTGCACTTACCACGCTGCAGGTTCCCGGTCTACAGCCAGCTTCGGAGGGCTCCCCAGAAGAACATGGCGGACACGTGCCTTTGCTCTTCCCAACAGCACGTGACCAGCTGCAGTTCCTCTTCTACCATCTGGGAAGACAATGATGTAGGCCTTAGCGCCAAGACCACACGTGGGTTCTCATCACGTACAACAGCAGCTTTGCTGAACAGTTAGGAGCAAGGTCTGTAATGCTATGTTGGACACACTGATGAATCTAGCTTGGTGAGCTGCTTCAATGATTCAGCCCTACACTGGCTACTTTATGATAGCAAATTGAGTCATGGTTTCAAATCATGCAAGTGAATCCTTAAAGCAATTTCTTTGTGGAAGGGATTACTGTCCTTATTGCCTTGGATATTAGGACAATAACTCAGTAATAACAATGAATGCAGAAGTAAACTAATTAATTTGTGAATGAAAAAAGTGAGTCCAACAATTGCCGAGAAGAGAAAGAAGAGAAACAATACCCCAGGTTCAGCCCCAGTTCTGTGGTCCCTAAACACCTATATATGGCAGAGAAACCACTTCTTATTGCAATCCTGTAGTTTCTGGGTTTTTTTTTGTGAATTGGCAATACTAAATCAACTGGTAATTAAGTCAGACTTGCTTATGTTCTCTCATATGAATGGGTTTTAATTAAACCCCTACTTAGACAGCAAATCAGGAAACAAATACGTTCTGTTTCAGATTGTAATGACAAAGATATTACTGTCTTCACACTGTGAAGAAATGGCTGTCAAAATATGAAGAACAACCAAGTAGACTCTGTTTCTTACTGCAGTGTTAGAATTTAGGCTAGTATAGAGCCAAGATCAAAATCATTCCTGAAGAGCTTTATTTTTATATTTAGTTCAATCTGAATGTATAATTTGAAGAAATACCTTTCTTTCATCTACAAGTCTCAATTTCTCCACCCACCCCCCGCAACTGGTATTATTTATAGACAAGGACACAGACTTTGCTTATACAAACACCATCTGATGGAAACAGGACCTTTGGTAGCTAGAGAGGGTGCAAAAGACAGAGCTGTGATGTTGAAGACAATGCAGATGTAAGTAAGGCATTCCTGGGTTGCTCAGTCAGAGTACTGGTATTTTTCTGCCCTGTACTACTGTGTCCCCATTGCCTTAAGGCAGTCATAAAACTAGAGGACCGGGTGAAACTATTTGTATCTCAAATACCTCTTTTGGGCAGAGTAGCTGTACCAAAGCATATACTGATACACCACTGAAATGGACAGTGGCTACAGCAGCTCCAACAACACAGAGCTCTCTGTCCTTACTACTTCAAATCTGTGAATATTTCTTACGCTCCTTAGCGAGACCCAGACTCGAAGCACTTTGTCACACGCATGAAGGAACTGAATCACATTATTCTGTCAGACACTTCCAGTGATTCAAGATCACCTTCAAAACCTGCTCCAGAATGATTTCAATCTGACCCATAAGTTCTTTTTTATATATATTTCTCTCAGCTGTCCCGCTACCATTTAGCAAGGATATCCCTGGTTCCTCATACACATTCAGTATTGACTGAGAGAGCCTTCTCCTCTGTACCCTTTGCCTCCTACCTCAGTAAATGTCCCTTCCTATTTCTTACGTGCTTTAGAAATCAC